CTAGTCAACATTGAATAAAGCTGGCACTGCTCAGTTTCTACGGTTTATATATTACAGCTCGCCTGTAAAGGTAGTGTTTTTGGGGAACTACGAAGTCGTAAGAGAAAAACATTTTTCAGGGACTACTGAAGTATTTTGACAAGAGAGTATTTCGACATGGGCAAAAGGTTAATAGTAGTGATAATTTCAATTCTGACGTTACTGATAACGATCGGGATTACGTACTTGCAACGAATTAATAAATAAAACCTGTTGTGTAAAGCATTTCTATACAGATCCACCAACTGAGTATGTTTGATTAAAAAAAACGTTGAAAAATAAATAATCCATATTTTGATCTGGTAAATAACAGATGCCTAAATCTGTTTGTTCCACTTGTCAAATATTTGAAATGTATATTTCTTCTGCTAATAAATAACTGAAATGTATATCTGTTAAACTAATCAAGTAACTGAAATATATATCTGCTCAATTAATCAAGTAATTGAAATCTCTCTTGCTCTCTCTCTCTTTATATATATATATATTTGTGCGTTCTGCTGGTAAACAGCTGAAATATATATATATACAGTATATATAAATTTCAGTTATTGATTAATAGAACATGTATGTATATATATATATATGTTCAGCTAATAAATAGCTGAAATATATATATATATATATATTTGTTCTACTAATCACTGACTGGATGTGCCAGACTGAGGTTCTGCAAGCCCACGGTTCGCGTTCCGTTACCGCTAAAACAAATCGAGCATCTTATTTTCGAGCCATGCGCTATAAGGGTAACAGTCAAATCCCACTACTCAGTAATAGTAACCTAAGAGTTGGCGGTGGACGCTGTTGCCTTCTCTTTAATTGACCAGCTCAAAACTAGGGACTTCTAGCACAGAGAGCCCTCGAGTAGCATTGCGCGAACAAATGAAAAAACACAAAACAAAAACAGTCTGTTTTGTTGGTTAACGACCTGACATCTAAATCACTCTTTATCAATAGTAAGTCTCTCTCTATTTATCCGTATATCTATCTATACAGTGTAATTACAAAAGAGGACATGTTGTAAGAGATTAATTATAACTTACTATTTTAAAATTTATAAGTTTTATTTAGATGTGCAATTTGACTCATGTTTGCTTACTTGCAGTTGTCCAAGTATGAAACAACATTAGCTACTAATAAAAGGCAGTAGGTTGTGTTTTCCGAAGCTTTTAAATCTTATTTCTACTTATTTTGCTGAAATATATAACAAAGCATATATATAGAATCTGTGCTCTATAAAGATAGCAGAGCGGGAAGAATAGCTCATAAAACAAAACGAAAAAGTCCAGCAAACTCTGCAGAATGAAAAGTCAGTAAATCATCGTTGGTTTCTACATGACACTTACCCGCTGTACTCAGTTTCCGTTTTGTGCACAGTCTTCAGTGAAGTTTTTGCTTTCCGGGCGCGTGATTATTCTGGTACCTTTTAGCCTGATTTTGTATCTCGAGTTACGAAACGTGGGATTGAAGGTATGAGTAGAACATGTAAGGTATGTTTAGAGAGAAACAAGAAAGAGAAAAGGTGGAAGAAGATAAGAAAAGTGTAAATCATGTCGAGCTAAAATGAAAACAACAACAACAAAGAATAATAAGTAAATGTATTTAAAAAAGAACTATAATTTTTTGTAATCCTGACTCGGAGAAACACAGGAGAACTTAACGAACTAAATTGGAAAACAACAAAAATGTTTGACTTCTAAAAGTGTTATAGGATTATAATAGATATATCCTGTTCACTTTTTAAAACAAATTGGAGACAGAGACGAAAGTAATGATAACTTATAAAACTAAAGAGAATGAATATCATGCAAAATACATATTACGAAAAAAATCATTTACGGTGTGTGCTTGCTATAAAGTAAATTAAGATAGATTGTAAAAATAGTAACTTAAAAACGGAGGAAGTATGCAATACAATATTTAGTTCTGAAAAAATGTTTTAAGAAGAAAGCGGTGCAGTTGTGAGAATAATTAAAATCTTGAGAGATAATTGGGCAGCACTGACAACAATCGACTAAACAAATAACACTATGATGGAATAAGAAGAAGGGGTAAGTAAAGTAGAGAGAAATTACGAAAACAATTACTGTTCTACCAAGATTATTCGTTAATACCTCCTTGAAGGTTTGTTTGTTTCTAATTAAGCACAAAGCTGCACACTAGGGATATCTGTGCTCTGCCCACCACGGGTATCAAAACCACAGGCATACCGCTGTGCCACTGGAGGGCCTAGTTGAAGGTTTGTTCGTTTGTTTATTTATTTAGAATTAAGCACAAAGCTACACAATGGGCTATCTGTGCTCTGCCCATCACGGGTATCGAAACCCAATTTCTAGCGTTGTACGTCCGCAGACATACCGCTGTGCCTCTTGGGGGGCAATAATTAAAATATAAAATTTTAATTGTGTAAACAACTACATCGAAAACAACAATGAAGCGATGGCTCATTGGTAAGCTTGAGGTCTTATAAACGATGTGTTTATTTTCATAAAACAAGCAATGTTACATTTACAAAAAAGTCGTGGGAGGGCAAGGGCACACAGGGGA